TAAGTTCTCAAGCTGGGGTGGCTAAAAACCTTTCAAAATTAAAGTTCCAAAATGAAAGGAGACAAATCTGTTTCTAAGTTCTGTTATTTACCTACTGAATGAGCTTCCTTGAACGCACTTCAGCTTCCTGATCCCTGGTCTTCTCACCTACAAAGGGGCGGCCATGGCAGTCCACACTTGCTAGACCATGGCGGTTCCCTAAGATGGCTACTGGGAACATCAATGCCAGGACACGCACACACATGCACACACATGCACACACGTGCACACACATGCACACACATGCACACTAAGCACAGCATGGAGACTGCTCTTCGGGTTCTTCTCAGTGCCTGTCAGTAAGCCAGGCCGTCCACCCATCTTAAAGCAAACGCTCCTCAGCACCCTAACCGAATGCCTCGACCGGGCAACCACTGAAGATAAGACTGTTCAACCACATACTGCATTAGGAAGAGCTATGCAATATATAACTAACAAACTAGTCAAAAGTTTGATTGCAAAAGATCTTATGTGACAGTGTGATCTTTTAGGCAGTGTGACCGCATGTCCCATCTTTCCTTTTAGAATGAAAACTTCAACAGAAAATGATGCCTTAACCTGCAAGAAGTGGGTGGTGTCCCTCCAGCCGGCCCTTTCCTTGCTCCCTTCCTAAGTCACAGATCTCAGTTTGCCAATTAATTTGCTTGCTCAAAGGGAAAGAAGTAAGATGGTGATAAAATCATTAGCCATTTTGAGAATGCAGTGTGGAACGGCCATGCCCTCGCAGGTCAGTTAGTGCAGACATGAACTGCGCTGTCTGCGTTATTTTCCTCATCCACAGCTGCCTCTGGAGAACTTTCCAGTTCTGTGTTTCTATTGTGATTACCAACTAGAATATTTTCTCTTTTCTCTCGCACAACCTTTTTGAAGATTTTTCTGCCTGCATGTATGTCTGCAGACCAGAGAAGGTCACCAGATCTCATTACAGATGATTGTGAGCCACCATGTGGTTGCTGGGAGTTGAACTCAGGACCTTTGGAAGAACAGCCAGTGCTCTTAATCTCTGAGTTGTTTCCCAGCCCAGGATGTTGTGTGGGGTAATCCACAGAACAGCAAGCATTTATTATGATCACTTTCACCTCGCCTTTAATGTCCACTTTGCCCTTTGCTAGCAACAAAGCATTGCTAGATCCCCTATTGCTTTGTTTCATGGGACAATTCTGTTATGTAAGAAGCACAGAAATTAGCATCTCTCGTGTTCAGATGAGAAAGCAGACACTGGAGAAGTTCGGAAAGTTACCTTTTTCATATCACCTAATAAGATAATGCATAAGACCTGACTTCCCTGTGCTCTGTGGGGAGGTGGGGATGACTGACCACATGGAAACTGTCCTCCTGGGCTGATTACCCAGAGATCCTAAAAACCCCTCGATCTCAGCTGAGGCCGTGCTGCTTTCTGCTGCTTCTCAGCAGAGCTGAAAAGAGCCAATAGCAAAGGTGTGGCGCCTACTCATCCTGACATTTATGCTGGCGTTAGGGCCAATAATAGAGTTATTTCCTCTGCACAGCTTCCTTCCGCTCACTGTCCGCAGCTTCCCCGTCCGCTCACTGTCCGCAGCTTCCCAGTGCTGCGGAGCTTGTCTAGACTGACCAGAAAGTGAAAACAAGTGGCGCTTTGAAACCTGCAAATCTGACCACAACTGAGAGTTGTACTTAGTCCAAGGAACTGGAAATCAGGTTTTTGCCTCAGACAAATACTTGCTTAATACTCTCAGATTGATAGTTTCTTCTTTTATAATTAGATAGAAAATTATTACACTGACAGACAAGGGACTTCCTGTGTGAGCCAATGGGAAAACATGAAGTTAAAACTAGGGGAAATAACTTATCCCAAAATAGACCTGCTAATGCCAGGATCAAAACAAACAAACCTGTTAATGATCTTTGCTTAGAATCAAACTGGGATAGAGCATGATACGTTCTCAGATGGAAAATGTGTCGGTTCCCCTGGTCTGAGGACTGGGCTTGAATAAAATGAGAAAATGCTTGAATAAAAGTCAGAAAAAGACATTGAAAAGTCCTCTCTATGCTGTGGAGGAGTCAAAATCAAAAGACATAGATGTTTGCTTTCTCAAAGAACCAATCTGTGGAGGTTTGGTTTCCCTAGTTCAGCTAGCCAACCTCCCACAGGCCCAAGTCTTTACTGTGAATATAATGAAAAGGAGGCACGGTCCCTGCTGCTGTGGAATTCTTATTCTGTTGGTGAGAGAGACAAGGAATAGACATATTAACAAGCACATAATCCAGGCAGTGAGCAATGCTAGGAAATTGAAAAGAAAATCTGGATTTGGGGTCTGAGGCTTAGCAGGTTAAAGAATCTAACTACAAAGAGAAACTCAGGAGAGGAGGCGATGGCTTGGAGAGCGAAGCCTGTTCCGCACAGACTCAATGGCTGGAGTTTCTCTGGGACCCATGATGGAAAGAGAAGCCTAACTCCCCAAACTGTCCTCTAACCCTCATACATGTACTGCAGCATGCGTGCATCCACACGTGCGCTCACACATACATGTTCATTTTTAAAACCAGGGTAGACTTCAGTGAGCTGAGCTGCAATGTTATTTAGGATGGAAGGGGGCAGTGCTCCTGGGTAGAAGACCACGTGTGTATTATGCATTTCTTTCATTGCTGTGATCAAACACATGAAAATAAAATCCTCAAAAAAGCAAGGGTTATTTTGACTCACAGTTTGAGAGTGTGTTCCATCAGGACACAGAAGTGGTACCAACAGCCCGAGGAAGCTGGACATACTTCATCCACAGTCAGGAAATAGGGGAGACGAGCGCTCGAGCCCTGTACCGTTTCTCCCTTTTACTCTGCCCAGAATCTAAACCCTTGCAAGCACCACGCACACTTAGGGTGAGTCTTCTCACCTCACTTAATCCAATCTAGACAGTCCCTTATAGGCACGCCCAGAGGTTGGCTTCCTAGGTGACTCTGGATGCTGTTAAATTGACAGTCAATAGCAGCCATCACTGTGGGGTTCCAGACTTATCATTGCACATCTCTGGGTCTGGCTTGCTTTATTTCTTCCTTCTTCCTCAAGCTCCACCTAGGGAAGTCAGGGCAATGTGGTTTTGCTATAGGCACAACATCAGTCCAAGAAGGGCAGAGTCTGTTTTCTTAGGGTTAGGGTGACTGGGAATACTGGGTTACCTAGAATTGTAACCCACTCCAATAGGAAAAAATAGTTCACTTCTTTCACATAGGGGTAACACATCTTGAATTTCCCAAGACAGTTGATTAATCTGGAGAAGGAGAGGAATTTGCCTTCCTGGTGGATGGAGTAACCACAAGTTCCAGTCTGTCCAGACAGTCTTCGAGCATACCTGTTACCACAGCTTAATAACTGTATATCCAGCCCCCTCTGAAGTATTCAAATTTATGGGTCCCTCCACTATAGTATAAAAAGCCCAGATTTTGAGACCCAGCCTCGCTGGCCACAACTAGAGATGCACAGTCTTCCCCGGAATCCTAGGGAGGACAGACTTGGCTGGAGGCAAGAAGCATGTGTCCACTGAAGAACGGAGGGGCTGTTATCCCAGGAAGTGGGGGAGTGAATTCTGGGTGGTCAAAGCCACAAATGTCAGTTACAGTTCTCCCTTCCTCTTTATACTGTTTGGTACAATTTACTAGCAAATTGAAGGAGACTGGGTGTTGGAAAAACATGGGTTTGAATCTTGGCTCTGCTGCTTCCTCTAGCTTATTGAGCACAGCTGGATCATCTTGCCTTCCTAAGCCCCATGTGCTCATATGCACAGAAAGCTAAGCATGTCAGCCTTGGTGAGTTATGAAGACTAAATAGGTTAAGGGATATAAAACATTTACCACAAAATTTGGTATATTTCGTCCTCTAAGTTCATAGCCACTGAGGTTTTTGTTGTTGTTGTTGCTGTTGTTTAGAAGAACAATATCTGGGACGGATCTGAACACATGGAAGGTAGTCAGGAAATATCTAGTGACCAGTAACTAAGATAGGAAAGAGGACAAGGATGACTTTTCCAATGAGAATAGGGATGCTCTCCATGAGTTTAGATGAGAGTTGTTGTCAATATTGGATCAACAGCAAAGGAAAGTGACTGTACTGTACCATTCTGAAAGTGAGAAAAATGAGTAAGTCATTTTTTAGGACCGTTTGGGGAAACTAGAACTCACTGGAATCTAATATAGGCCAACAGACTTAGTCAGCACTCGTGTCTGCGCAGACACATACATATGGCATACATATGGGCAAGAGGTACCACGCCAAGCATTAGGATCTAGAGAGGAGAAAGCTCAGAACTATAGAAGTCAGTCCTGTCCTCAGTTCCTATAGTAACTATAGAAGTCAGTTCTGTCCTCAGTTCCTATAGTAACTATAGAAATCAGTTCTGTCATCAGTTCCTATATATTAACTGTACAAATGAGTTCTGTCCTCAGTTCCTATAGTAACTATAGAAATCAGTTCTGTTCTCTGTCCCTATTGTAACCATAGAAGTCAGTTCTGTCCTCAGTTCCTATAGTAACTATAGAAACCA